AGCTAGAAAATCTTCACTGCAAACTGCTCCTTCTAAGGGGCCTGCAGGGTTTTCTTCAGTTGAGGTTAGTTCATCCCATACTACTGATGTGGACACGATAGGTTCTGGTTCCTCTAGTCCTATTTTGATTTCAGATCTGAAAACTAATTTGGCTCTCACAAACACTGCTCCGGCAAACTATACCGTTGTTCAACCAAAAACTACCTCTCCTCTTATTACTAACTTAGCTTCCTCCATCCCCATCCCTCCAATCCCAGTCCCAGCTCCCTCCAACCCACCTGCTGCTAAGATTGGTACTTCCAATCAAAACCCCCCCAAAACACTATTTTTAGGAAACCTAGCATTGCTACAGTTCCCCAAACTTTGGCAGAAAAGTTGAGATTTACTTCTGATAAAACCCTTAAAAGACTTGCTCCAACCACCATTGCTGCTTCAGGAAAGCCACATGTGGTTATTCCTGATGAAGTGTTTCAAAGAGGTGCTGAGCTTCATCGTGACTTCATTGTGTGCTACTTCTGTGGTCGTGCACCTCCCTATAAGCAGATTCAAAGTGTGTTGAATCACATGTGGGGTAAAGAAAAAAAGCTTGAAATTCATACCAACATGCTTTTGAACTCAATGTTGGTCAGGATTCCTAATGACTATATTAGGCAGAAAATTTTAGAGAAACGTATTTGGTATATTGGTGACACTATGTTTCATACTGCGCAATGGGCCTCCCATCATTCTCATGATACTTCTCCTATGGTCTCATTTCCCGTTTGGGCTCATTTGAGAGGAGTTCCTCTTGACCTTAGATCTCTAGAAGGGTTAAGCTGGGTTGCTGGTCTTATTGGTGAGCCAAAAGAAACAGATGAATTCACAATCAACCTTACCAGTCTTCATCTGGCTCATGTGAAAGTAGAGGTTGACCTGACAAAAACCCTTCCTGATGTCATCGAGCTAGGAAGAGCGGATGGTAGTGTTACTTTGGTTGAGGTAACTTATCCATGGATTCCACCAACTTGCTCCCATTGTAAGGAACTTGGTCATGTTATTCGGAATTGCCTCAAACTGCCTCATGCTAGTGCTAGGAACAGCTCACAGGGGAAGCCAACCCCCCCCCCCAACGCTACTACGGTGCCACGGGGCCCTAAGGACAACCCTCTGAGTGATCCAAATGCAGCTGCTGGGCCTACTCACCTTAGTAAAGCTCCTTCTATCACCACTGCTCATTGCCATCCATCTGCGTTGGTTGAATCTGGTTCAGAGTTGGTTTCCACACCCTCTAAAGCTGGCTCCTTGGTTATGAGCTCGGTACTTGACTCCCAATTGAGCCCCTCTGTTTTATTCTCTACCCCTACTGCTTCCCTCCCTTCTTCTTTGTCCACCAATTCCCCATTATCCATTTCCCCCACTTTAATTCAACCCTTTGTTGTTGGGCTACCTGCCTCTATTTCTTGCTCAGGTCAACCATACCCTCATAGTCCTCCTTATGAACCACGACCATACTTAATCCCCAAAAAATATAAACCAAAATCCCCTCTTCCACCAAATAACACCAGCAGTAACCCACCACAAAAACCAATCCCTAAGTCACTCAAACTGTCAAGAGTCAAACAACCTCCTGATGCTTCTTACCCTATAGCTACTCACTCTTTAGATATCCCTACTAATCCAGACTGTGAATCAGAAATGATTGTGGAAATTGTTGTTGATGTTCCTACTAACCCGGGGAAGCATCTCCTTCAATCTCTATGAATACAAAACAACTTTTTTGGAATGTCCGTGGTTTAAATGACCCGGATAAGCATCACCCTTTTTGTCAGTGGATGCATACTAATCAACCTCTGTTTGGTGCTCTTTTGGAAACAAGAATCAAGGAACCCAACTTGAACCGTGTGATGTCAACTGTTTGCCATGGTTGGAACTTCACCTCTGATCACCTTTCAGATCATGGAGGACGAATTGTTGTGATATGGAAAGACCCTGCACAAATTAGAGTTTTGTCCCAATCCAGGCAAACTCTTACTTATGAAGTCAAGATTGCTAGTTCAGTACAATTTGTGGTGACGGCTATATATGCTGCTAACACTCATGATGAGAGAACGGACCATTGGGTGGAGCTCTTAAACCTGCAGCATACTTTATCCCTGTTTCATAGTCCATGGGTTATTGGAGGGGATTTCAATCAAATTTTACACTTCGCAGAGCATTCCTCTCCTTCAACTAATTCCATTGATGGTCCTATGACTATGTTCAGGGACTGCCTTCTTCAAATGGGAATGTTTGACTTGAGATCTCAAGGTCCTCAGTTTACTTGGACTAATAATCAACCCTCTGATCCCATTGTTGAGAAACTGGATCGAGTCTTGGTTAATAGCAGCTGGATCTCTATGTTCCCAAACAGTACTACTACCTTTCTTGCACCAAATATCTCCGATCATTGCCCTGCTCTCTTAGACCTATCCTATCAACTACCAAAAACTGGAACCAGACCCTTTAAGTTCTTTAACTACTTAATCCAACATCCCAACTTCTTACCTGTGGTGAAGGACGCTTGGTTGCAGGCTGGAAGCAATAGCAAAGATTTGGCTAACCTGTGTTGGAAGCAGAGAGTGATAAAGAGAGATTTAAAGCAGCTAAATAGAGAGAATTTTTCACAAATTCAAGAGAGAGTYAGTGAGGCTAACTGTTTGTTACAAGCTGTGCAGGTGCAGGCTCTCCAATCTCCTTCTACAGCTACTTTCCAGCAGGAAAGAGACCTGCACATTAAGTGGAACTTCTTAAGGTCTATTGAGGAAAGCTACTTCAAACAGAAATCCAGAATCAACTGGCTTAAGCTGGGAGACCATAACACCTTTTACTTTCACCGGATTGCACAAGTGCGAGCTGCTTACAACTCCATCCGTTCTTTCTTACTTGACTCTGGTTCTTTGGTTACTGATCCGATGGCTATGAATTCCCTTGCTGTCTCTCATTTCTCCTCCATCTTAGCTCCGGAAGTGCTTTGTTCTCTATCAATCTCAGTTGCTTGGTTTCAGGATCTCTCGGACTACAGATGCCCAATTGCCCACCAGACAACAATGCTCCATCTTCCTACACCTGCTGAAATCACGTTAGTCATGTTTCGCATGAATCCT